AAACCTGTGGTAAGCGTGCAAATAATTTTTTTAATCCTTTGCCAATCACCAACTTTTATTCATAGCTACAAATCAAGGCCACACCAACTAAACAAGAATTTAATATCGACCTTCTTATTTCAGTGTCTTTGCAGAGCTTAACACACATGGCATGCTGCCCCCAACTATTCATTGGGTAGGTCTGGTAAAGACAAATAGCTCCAGTTTTATAATTAAAGTAGGCTCAAGTTCTTGCTTTACTCAACTGGTATAGGTAAATCTACTACCAGTATAGTTACAGCAGTGTTAACACACTCCTCTTCCCACTCTAGCCCTGTGAATACCACGGCCACTCACATGTATAAGGGCAGCCCGCTGGCTAATAAAGCACATTTTTCAGCAACACTGTTTCCAAAGTCCTTTGAAAACCCCTTCAGCTACAAGGCCCAGGTATTTACACAGTGCAGACGTCTAGGTCTCTCTTGACTTAGATATGAAGGAACAGAAGTTGCTCATCCCCTTGGGATTTGCAGTTTACCTAATGCATACAAAGCATCTTGCTTCATAGTGAGAATTCATAGTGGGTTCTTTCTCCACTCACCAGGAACTGATAAATTGTTTCTGGTTTGTGTGGAAGTGCAGGGATCCACCCCCATCTCATTTTCCTGGAGGGGGCACTGTGATTCTGTGATAACAGACATCCTGGAACGGCCCCGAACAGCTTTGGAAACAGAAATTCAAGGTCAGCATCATGCCTCAAACACTCAGACATTTGCAAGTAATCAAGTGCTCACAAAGTACAGAACAGTGGGGTACAAGGTATGGTTAAAGAACCTTTTTCAGATCTCTGATGCGTTAGCAAAGTACAGGAAAAAACAAGGCAGGTGGGTGAAAAGTGATCATGAAATACACCACTACAGAAAAGCAAACAGTTCATTCCAGATTTGCAGTTCCAGTGAATTTCTTTCAGATACCACTAAGGATTCACTAGTATGGCAGTTCTAGAACCTTAATATCAAGGAAGAAGGAAGTTACAAGGAGGGAACTGGGAAATCCTCTGAAGCTTCACACTTGCAGGGCTGCGTGAATTAACTGTTTGATGGTGACAGTAGCACTGCAATTTGGCAACAGGTCATGGGCAGCATCACACCCACCATCATGGCACCTACGCACAGTGTGCATGGTACACAGTGGAGTGGGAGTTTGAAAATGTTACATTCAGCTAAAAGACTATATAATCACAGCAGCAAATCTTTGCTGCAATGGGCAGCCTCCATTGTCATGTGCCAAGGTATTTCCTTCACTGAGATCAAGTCCATCACAAAGCTCCCTAGGGAAGGGATTGGAACATACACCTCAATAGATTTGTAAGGAGAGCAAATCTGATATGAGAAAAACAGAAATGTGATATGCAAGCTAGAACTACCTTCACCTTCAGCAATCAAGAATTTATCCAGAATTAAATCACTATGATTTCAAAGGACCCCAGATCTGTTTCAGACCAATGGTCAATTTAATTTAAATTCTGGATCAAATTCCTTAGAACCATACCCACAAAATTCAGTGCTCCCATCTCTTAACTCTTTACCTGGAATCTTCTGCTCAGGTGCAGAGACATTAGCTGTCACTGCTGCAACTTTAGAAACAAAAAGCATCAGTTTCATTGTACTGAGAAATGGCATTTTATTCCATTTGCTTTTGTCACACATGTCCAGAGCTGATCTCATCACAAACTCAGCAGCACTTTTTCAGTAAATGTTAGTGCTCCTGGACAGGTATACCAGCTGGAGAATTTGCTGCACCTAAATGGGTTTGATTCAAGTCATTCTCATATGTGAGGATATTCAGCATCGTCCAAAATTCTTATTGATTCAGAGAACTAAGGCAATAACTGCTTTTTAATTCATCCTGGAAACATTGCTTCTGCTTCTCTCACTTCTCTGAATGAGATGGAACACCTCCTGATCTTTAATTTGTTTAGTCCAAGAACTAAAGCCTGAAGCCAGTTTTAGCTTCCTAATTGGTGCAGTGCAGAGTTTGCAACAGGACAGATACTCACTGACACTCATGGGGTTTAGCTAGTTATAATAACAGATAATAACATTTGAGGAATACTGAAAACTTTGCTTCTCTCTGACTTTGTGCTCTGAGCAAGTCTTCAGGGACAAGGCTGTGCCAGTAGGAAAGGCAACAGCTATTTCAGATTTGCAATTAGATTCTATACTGCAGGAAAGCTGTGACCTCTGTGAGGACATTTTTCCATCAGTGACTGGACCTTCATTTTTCCAGCTGGCTATCCACCTCCATTAACTGACCTGTCTAGAGACAGTCACAACTTTACCACATCATTTTGCTTGCCAGTTCACAAAACTTATGGCAAGTTCACTGAATTTGAGAAAGATCAGGATGCTCTAGTAGAGATCAACTTCTGACACATTAAGCTTCTTGGACTACTCCCGTCTCTCCGATAACAGTACAAAAGTCCTTGTGTCTTCTGGTACCAGCTTCCCTGTCTTGCATGGCATACAACAGAGGCCAGACAAGCCCAGCTGTTTCATTTACAGCTCAATTGCATGGAAAAGACAAGTTCTGGCTAACCATGCACTTTAAGTAAATCATTAGATTAGCAACCATTCAACCTAGCATCACACAAGTGTATTACAAACAGACCTGTAATGCTACCACCTGCAATTCAAAAAGCCAAAAGAGTCAACTAATAAGCTAAAAGAAGGTAGAAAACGGAAGTTTTCTAACTCCTGACAGCTCAGGGAAAACAATTCATTAGCAATCCCACACCCTGACATCTCTATCTTCCCTTCTGTCTTTGCTCAAAACATTGTACTGACACACAATCACCGAGCTATGGCACACCAGCTGGCACTTTGGCTGCCTGGTCTGAAATGTCTCCAGGGATAAAGCTCTAGTTATTGTCTAGGGGGACTGTTTAAAGAAGAGACATCCATTTGTCACCACTATTTACTTCTTGCCCTTTCCACTCTCCTTTTGACACTTTTAATCTTAATAACTGCCATTTACCTTTTGTTGTTTGTGGCATTTGCAAAGCTCCATAGGAAAGTTTAAAACTCACTGCAACAGTAACTGTCTAGTGACATTTAAAGCAATATCAAGGAATAGCTACAGCAGTGCTGCAGAAAAGGGCAACATATCAACAAACATGAGCTCACAGAAGCAGGACAGCAATCTGTTAACAAAGTTTCTGTTAAAGTTTCTGCACTCAGGATTCCAAAATGTTGGTATAAGACAGCATGCTCTTTATTAGCATTGCCTGAATGAGCAGCCTTATGATGCACTAAAGTAGATTATTATGGATACAATGAAAGACCACCACAGTTTCACAAGGATATAGCAGAGAAAATAACATTTACTCACCTTCCCGTGGAGCGGGAATTTTTGAAAGGGTTGTTCTACGCTTCTGTTTCTGAAAAGCAATGAATGCTGTAAATGGAGGAAGCTGCAAACGCCTAGCACAGCACTCCAAGACAACAGTGACAAAAGAAGAATTTCTAACCAAAGTCTAACTATGAGATAGGAAAGACAAGTTAGAGACCTCAAACTTTAAGACTTTAAAAACTATAAATAAGGATATTATAACAAGACCCACACTGTTGACATGTTAATACCTTAGGAGAGACTACATCACTCACCTGTACAGTTACATTCTCTTGCAAAGGAAGGTTCTCTTTCACATCTGCAGCAGGTACTTCCTTTGATAGCTCAGGATTTATTGTTATCACATCATCAATATCAATCTACAAGAGCAAAGGCAGGATTTTACATAGTGCAATATTGCTCCTACCACTTGTGGCTTTTTTGTTTTCTCAACCTTGACTTTCAGTACTGACAAAAAAGCTTGACCCACTGCCTGCCAAATGTAAAGTTAAAATTGCCTGGAAGGGCAAGACAGCAGTCTTGTACGTCCAAATAGGCTAGAAATAAGCTAGTTAATCCATTTACCCTCATCTGCCAAACACCACGCAGTTCTGAGGGTGCCGTAGAACACTTCTGAAGAGATGGACAAACCACATTTGGCATCAAGTGCTTTAATCTCTTAGTGCTAACCTTAGTAAATCTCAACTGCTCTGGGACTTGTGTGCTAGGAGAGTATTAAGTGTTTACTGTGTGATTGCACTTACTGAAATAAACTTCAAAGAGCTGCTTAGACTTTGGGAAATGAAGATTCAGCATTTAATCCACAAGTCAATTCACCTTCATTTTCACTTGCTATTGCAAGTGATTTCACCTAGGGAAAGCTACCACCTCCTGCCTGACCCTCGCGTGACTTCATAGTCCTGCCTTCACCGCATCCTGCAGCGCCCTGGTGCAGGCAGCTGCAGGGCAGGGAGAGCGCCGGGGGGGCAGGCAGCCCCCGGCTCGAACACAAGAGACAGCAACTCTCTCGGTTCAGTTTTTCAAACCTAACCCTCCAGAAGAGGTTGAAAGCACATGTACGCAAAAACTCTGGTATCACAGCTGCTTGCACTGGAATTCACCTAACGACACATCACAAGCACCACTCCAGAAAGTTCTTGAGTTCTCAATTAACTTTTAAATTCTTAAAATAAGAGTCCATAAAAAACAGCAAAACCAACTAAGTGAAACTGTAAAATGTTGAGATACCACATTCTAACATAGAAGTAATCTATAAAATCGGCTTTATATGGAATTTGTAAGTATCTAATTGGAACGTGAATTAGCTCAGAAATACATACATGTGGGCAATATGTCAGTGTATATACGAGCATTTAAAGAAATTACTGGATTTTGAAGCATCTTTATTAAGACTTAATAGCCTAATATTGTATCTGAATCCGCACCTTTTACAGCATGCACATAAATAGTGTAAGATCCAGTTTCAAAGAAGCAACCAATTGCAGATTTAAGATTTTAAACAAACTCTAGAGTATATATGTTTCCAGAGAAACCAGCAGGACAAGTATGTTTTGCTCAGCTACCAAAAGAGATTTTGTTAAGTGTCAAGATTTCAGCCACATCGACTCCAAATGCCCCCAGGTCCCCCCATCCCACCTCATACAGAGTTTATGCCAGTGTAGAGATACAGGAAATTAAACTGAGCCCTCTTAACGTGGCACCTAGTAGTGGCATATAAAGTCTTAAGGAAAGCCTGAAGACCATTGTTAAAAAAAAGCCAGCAGACAGCCCCCAGAGCCGGGAAAAGTGGGACTTAGGGGCATTCAAAATCAGAGGCCGACAGCGTGAAAGGCCCAACGTGCCCTCGCTCACTCGGAAAGATTAAGAGCCCTGTTATGGCACCGCTCCAGTGTGACTCTCACATCTTCACACACCTACTTCATTGCTTTAACTACTCCTGACGTTAAAATAAGCACAGGAGTGGTCAGCCGGCCCGGCCCGGGCGCGCCGCACCAGCCGTT